GTGTTTGAAATGTTAGCTAACTTTTGTGAGCCGGCCTTTGAATGGAGTGGTTTTACTCACCTCAAAGCAGTTTTACACAACAAGCTTTAACAACAGCAACTTTAACAAAAGGTTAATTGTCTTTCCCAAAATATCTTCATCATGAAGATGGAGGAGCTTGGGATAAAACAAACCAAAACAAAATTAGGAAATGAGCCACATCCTGAGTCTTGTGGCTCAGGAGGCTTATTCATCAGAACCCCACAACTGGGTGCAATAATTTTAAGTTAAAAGTCATTGAAAGTCTTTAGAAACTCCAAATGTAATTAAAAAGATTTGGTTCTCTTTCTTAAATCATATCTATAGGGGTCTAAAGGGTCAGAAAGCCATCATTCTTAAGAAGTGTACATTACAGCACCAAGAGACCAACGCCTACAGTAGTTTTAAAGATAGTCTGCACAGTTAGGACTGTGTGGTTTCAAAATGTTTTATCTCATTCGTGAATAAATTCACGATCAATGTTTGGGTCTGTGTTAAATGACAGGTTTTGTTGTATTCATGACCAAGATTGGGTGATTTTTTTTACGACTACAGGAGCACGTTCAGTAAAAGAAATCATTCCCACCTGTGGCCGTCAAACTCGATGGCTCCTCAAACTATCCCTAATCATGATTACTGACTGAAACCTGGATTATTCCACTTTCCATTTTCTTTTATATGAAGAACATAACTTTAATTAACTTCAGAGTATTGATTTAATATATTTTAATTATTTTTTTAAATAAATATTTATTCTATTTTTCTGCATTTCATATTGTGATTTTGTTTGTGTAAAATAACTAAAGTCAATTGATTTATTTTAAAAAGGCAAATAATGATATTTCTATTCATTAGCACCTTTCTGTATTGACTGGTAGTAGATGCTACAACGTTATACAGATTGACTTTATTTGGTATTAATATTATTTAACCTTTACACAAGCATGATACTGCGATTCTTGAGATTAAGAGACACCTATACACATAGCAAAAATCCACAAAGTGCATTAAGTATACAAAATATGCAATAGATAAAGAGGAACATACTCAAATCTGTCAACTTCAGTGGCAGTAAAGCCTAAAACATCAGTAAAAGTGATTGCCCAGTGGTATTAATGGCACTGATTTGCAGCCTCAAGAAGCTGCTTTCAGGTAAAATCATCTTAAAATTCATTGACTTTCACTGAATTTATTTTTATTTTTATTTATTTATCTTATTTATTTATTTTACTGCATGGCCAGATGTAGCTAATAAGCCACTATCTGCCTGTATCACTAACTTTAGCCTTCCTTCAGAGCATCCATGCTCTTGTCATTTCAGTTAAAGTACCATGAAACTGTCACATGTAATATAACTTGCACATTTTAAATGAGTAGCTTTTTTTTTTATTTCCCCCCCTTCCCCCCCCTTAGGTTGAACTGTTAAATTAATTACTCTAGTGGGGCGCCCACCCTGGGGCCTGATGAAAGGGTTCCTCCTTTAATCTCTAACCTTTTGTTTTATATGGTAGCAACATCTTTGGTCTTGACCTTAAAAGAAGCTCAGGGTTATATAAGAGAGAGTCCCTGTGAGAAACAAGAAAAGTCCCATGTGACAATACTATTCATTATTTAAACTCTCGAAATTGATTTATGGTGTTGTAGTGAAATTGCTTGCTTTTCAGACCAAACATGGCCAACAAGCACGAGTTTAGCCTTGTCATAGCCAACAAAATCTATTTTTTTCCACATTTTTTTTATAAATGATCATCTAACATGTCCAATCCTTTCTGCGCCTTTCCCCGACCTTCAGTAGAACAGACCTAATTCAACTCACACAGGGTAACATCTTCTGTGGAAATGTGATCTCATGTTGCTCAGACTTCATATATTTACAAGACTGAAGCACATTTGTGTTTTTGTAAATGTGCCACTGTTAGACAGCTGCTTCATGAAACCCTTGAGTTATGTGGTTGATGTAGCCTCGAGCAGAGATGAGGAGGACTCACTTGTTTTTAACATTAGTCCCTTTCAGCCAAACTGGATGCAATGGCATCAGTTAAGTTATCTGTACAGCTTTATAAAACGTGTATAGGCATGGGTGTGAGTTAAACAAGTTGGGGACCATCTTTAAATCATTGTGCTGCTCATAAAGCATGTAGAAATACTGCTTTTCATGCAGTCTTCCGCTTAAATTAACTTTTGGTTCAATAGTTTGTGTAACGATTGCAAGTTGCGGCACCACAAATTGTTTAAGACTTAAGACCCTGTAAGAGTTGCAGTAGTGACATTCACTCTGTCAAAACAGATCAATCGGAAATTTACTGCCCAAAATGTAGAAATGTTTTTAAAGCACTGTTTGTGAATCAAACTTCAATTCTCTTCATGTATCTGACAAGAAAGCTTTGGAAAGTGTTCTCGGTGAGGAAAGCTTTAATGCGCTGATCATGTTACTTATTTATTTATAATTTTATGTTGGATAGAAAGTTATTCAAACAATTAATTTGTCCAACAGCTGTAAGTTACAAAACGCTTAGGAAGGCTTAAGTCGTTGGTTTGAAAAGACAGGACAATTGGCTGCATTGGCCTGATCCTTCTCATAATTACAGTACAGCTGATCGTTCGTACAGGAAATACTGGTGAGATTCTGGAATGAATTAAACATGTGCAGATAACATGAGTGACAAATACATTATTAAGAGTAAGCCATGCGAGATTTGTAATGCCAAATAAGATAATAAATGTAAAATGAACACCTTTCAGCGCAGAGCGGGGATATAACAGAAGTGTGGTTAACCTTATACGTTACTAGTTTTATTTGATGGTTCCCTGTCGGGCTAAAGTGAAAAAAAATTTTTTTGCATGCGACGAGTCGTCTGGAAATAATTTCTCATTGCTGATAGGTTGCTTGGCTACACCATCCCCACTTGCGCATGGATTGGCTTAGTGCTCTTGCCCCCCTCTAGTTCCTCATTGGCTTTTGGTAATGATAGTTCCCTGCCATCATTTGCCCATGCTGTTTTCAATAAATATTGTATGTGGTCTCTGGCTTTGGTGCTGATCATGTGAATCGTCGGGTTGAGAGGAGGAAGGTATCCTGAATGAGCACATCAGATGATGGAATTTCCCCCAGAGACCACAACTGCTCGTCCACAACTGTCTCCCTCCGAAATTAGATAAGAGAGAAGCGCCAGGAGGTTACAGCCGGGAAGATGTTCTGCGCCAAGCTGAAAGAGCTGAAGATATCCGGAGAGTGTCCGTTCTCTGCCAGCGCCAAAAATAATGAGCTCGGAGACTTTGAGGAGCGCTCAACTGAGACGGCGGATTTATTGCCTGTTTCCAAGGACGTGCACGGAAAAACAGGTGAGGGTGTACCTCGAAAGAAGACAAGCAGAGCCAAAGTTAACCTGCATACACTTGGGGATAGCATCCGAAAACTGGCATGTCCCGAGGTGAGTTATAAATGCATTTCTTATTCACCTCATGTATCTTCTGCAGTGTTTTACTTAGACCTGTGAAAAAACACAACTATTACTGCATTTATCGCATCTATTTTTATTTTTTTTATTTTTTTTGCCTTAAAGCACAGACACCATGCCCCTGTGTCCGCTTGAGACAATGAAACAGATAAATCTTATGCTATAAATATTAGAGCCTCTGTAATTGACGTTTAAGTATTCCCAGACGCTGACCTTTAACTTGCTTTGGGCACTCTGTGATACAGTTTCAAAGGCTGCACACTGCCCTCCAACGAATGATGACACTATCAGATCACAGCAGGGACTCTGAAAGGTAACTGGTGTTTTTAATTTCAGCTGCCACCAACACATCAATAAAAACACTGCTCATCCTATCAGCTGCAGTCTGTGAATTATAGGTCTAGCCCACAACTTTCACCACAGCATGTATTCCTCATGATAAAAATAGTGAGGGTGAGATGTGTGATTTGTTACAAAATATCTTCTGGCACTCTCACTACTAGACTGATACAAGGAGTTGTGATACAGACTCCGGCTGCTATGGATACCTGGAGAAAAAGAGAAAACCCTCCCAAATGAAGGGCACATTAGACTGCTATGGAAAATATAACATGCGCAGTGACATTAATGCGTAGTTTTCACAGTAGGGTCACGGTCTGATGAGGAGCTAAAACGATTAGTGTATTAACCAATTAGCTGAAAATTAATTTGGAACTATTTTTGGTGATGTTTTCTCTCATTTTTAATGCATGTGTACCGATTGTTACTTTGCCGCAGCCTCTTAAATGCAAGGTTTTGCAGTCTTTGTGGTCACATGTCATATATATAGAAATACAAATATGGAAAAAAAAATATTTGGCTGTTTGTTCAGACAAAAAAGCACATAGAAAAATGCCACCTAGGAAGTTATAGCAGACATTTTCCATTTTGTCTGGGATGTTACAGACAGATGAAAAGGAAAATCAATGGTTAAAATGATCTTGTGGACAATTCCAGCCGATGTCTGCTGTATCTCAGTGACTGTCTACTGAAAGTGTGTTTTTAATGTGTGTCTGACTTTGATATTTGTTGACTTTCCAGTCTAGCAATTTCCTGTTCACATCACCAGAGCTGTAGCAGTGAACCAGAGCATTTATTAGAGATGATGAACATTCATTCTGTCAAAACAGGTAAAGACAAATCGGAATCTTATTGGCCAAAACATGCTAATGTTTTAGGGGGGTTTTAAGCACTGATTGTGAATCAGATCCCTATCCTCTTCATGTATCTAACAGGAATCCCGATAGAAGCTTTGAAAATTGCTCTTGGTGAGGAGATTTTTAATATGTGTTACGAAGAGGACAGCCACATTTTGACGGTGGTGGGGGGAGCGCTCCACGACTTCCTCAACAGCTTCAATGTCTTGTTGAAACAGAGCAGCATGCTGCCCAACCCGGATAGACGAGATTGTGTAAACGAACCTTCGGTACTCTGCTTAGACAAAGATCCGGGCCTGCTTACTGTCTATTTCTTCAACCCTTGCACCACCACTGAGCTCTTTTTCCCAGGAGTCATCAAAGCTGCTGCCCGCCTGTTGTACAACACCACTGTGGATGTGGTGATGGACCTCCAACATGGCAGAGACACCATCTTGCAATCCAGTCCACAGCCCAGCCTCCTGTACACAGTTGTAGTTAAGGATACAAAAAATCTGAGCCCCAGTCCGTTGCGGGCTACCTCAGCTGGGACCCTTCCTACCTCTCTCTTTTCCACTATCTTCCCTTTCCATCTGATACTTGACCAGGATCTGGTTCTGGTGCAAGTAGGACACGGGCTCAGGAAAAGACTGATCAGGAAGGATGGACTCAGACGGTTTAGTACCTTCCAAGACCACTTCTCTATTGTGTCCCCCCAGATCAAATGTACCTTTCAGGGTATCCTCACTATGCTAAATGCACAGTTTATCATTCGGATAAAGCATGGAGTCACCACCACAGATAACACAGGAAAGGTACGTTGATACATCTGTGAAATTCCTTGAAAAGTGACTAGAGAGACTAGAGAGGCTGAAAACATTTTCCCATCATCACCTACATGTTTAAGGAACTTGGGTAGAAGAGGGGGGGAAATGGGCTGCTTATAAGCATCGTAGCTTATTAGTGGTGTACTTGGGTGCACTCGGCCTGAGGTAGAGATCAACATTATACCCCCAGTGGAGATCAGAAGGAAATGTCAAACCATTTTATCCATCAAAGCCACAGCCATGCTCATGCTATTTTTGTAAGGGTGCACAGCCATCAGTTGCAATGAGAGGTACTGGCGAGTAAATGTTGCATGCTATAATGAAACTTATTCAAAGATGCTTCCACTTAATACCATGTGGCACTTGTCCTCCAGTGGTAGATTTACAGCTAGTGAACAGGGTCCAATTAAAACAGGTAGAAATCAGCAAGTGGGTGAGCCAGCAAGTTTCACAGTCTCTTGCATCTTGGGTCAGCAATTTGATACTTATATTCCAGTCAGCAGAGATAGCACATTAACATAACTTGAATTATCTGATACTTTTAAAAAAAAGTAAAAAAGGCCCACTCCTATGGCTCCACAAATCAAATTTTCATGTTCATTTATTCTAACAAATATTTAATAATTTATAGTAGAGAGAATATAAACATGAGAAATCAAAAGCATTCAGTGTCATTGTTGGGAAAGCCGTCTGTCTATGAAAAATAAAGAATAAGCTGTCAAAAATGTTAGCTATTTTCAGACAAAATGAATGAAATCGGAAAATTGTAGAGAAGACGATGTCAGATCTCTTCAAAGGCAAACAAACAAAAACACACAAACTAAAGGCTTTCAACGGTTTTTATTTAAACAACCCACATTTTTATCTCTTGAAGTCTTGACTGTGAGACAGATTGACCAATTGACCGGCTTACATTCCCTACATAAATAAATCTTTCAGCTTTGTTTAAAAGTGTGGCTGATTGCAGCTGTACGCAGCTGTCATTTTACTTTACCGGAATATTTACATCTCTTGAGGGAATTAATTGTGTATACATTTGAAAAAACTGCT